TATACAGAGCATCGAATCGTATGTAACTCGACTAATCGAAAAATTCTTCATCGCTTGTTTCTTTATTCGATCAATCGATTAACACCAGTAAGTCTGCGTCGTTATTTCTTAAACCCGAACTGGAGATTTTAAGACAGAAACACGTATGACTCAAACATTTTCGGACATGGTAAAGCCCCTTATCAGTGGTTACTATTCAGGGGTTTCTGTATCCTTGGATCCGTGGGCTATTATCAGTATTTTAGACGGGAATCGCAAAACACTTCTTGTGCAATAATCTCGTGTTAAGAGATACAACTTTGTTGGTGTCTCGCTTGTGTTTACTAGCATTTTTGAAGGTTACTTAAAAGTAGACATTAATGTGTTTTCTGTGACATTACAACATCTCAGTGTGGCAACACTGGGCGTAACCTTTGATTGGCTGTTGACACGTCGTACGAATTTCTGGGGTAGGAATGATGAATCGAAGCTTTATGTCAGGTAATCACAGTGCCCTAATGGAATACGTCCCGTAAGTGCCGGTGTGTTCGAGAAGGTACTGCCATTTTGAGTCCAGAGTAACAGGAAATGTCAACAGTGAACAGAACTTAAGTGACTGTATTCTTATGTAAGTTTACAGCTTATTTTCACCACATATGTGGTTGTAATTAATCAATTAATTTCTCTGTTAACACCGTTCAAACCTTGTGGGGGAAAAATATTTATTCGTTTTTTCGAAAAAGTGTGGTTATTAATTTAATATGATTCTCAATGCTAATAGCTGTTATTTCTACAAATTACGTCAACTGTTTTTATCTTTTGAATTGTTATGGGCTGTGTTTTCCTTGCGGTACGGACTGAATTTTTTAATATTATTCTGTCTTTGGCTTCAAAGGATCGATACTTCGGTAGACTGTTTATAAAATAGTCACTCTGAAGCAGTGTTGTTTGCATTTATACTGTGTGACGACTCAAATAGTAAAATTAATTAAGTTCTTCTATTCTGCCGATCGTTGGCAACGTATAATAACGGTCAGATAATTTTTAATAGTTTGAATAATTTTAATAATGGGTTTGAAATATGGTGGTTAAAATGTTTGGGTGTTAGTACTGATAGGCACCCTATAGGTGAAGTACAATGGTCTTATTGCACATCTTGGAGCCATTATGGCAATCATCGCTTCATGCTTAGAGAATCCTTGATGCCAGGAAAGGAATTTGCGGATTGCACTGGATAAGGCAGTGAAAGTGTTTAGTTTTAACAAAGTTCATCGTTTGAACTAATGTTTTCTTAATGGCCTTTATAGAGAAATTGGAAGCTCACACTAACAACTGTTGTTTGTATTCTCAAGTGTGTCGTGTGACTCAGTTCTTGGTGAAATACGAGCATTTCTTACGACCAGAGATAAAACATTTCAAAGAAGCAGTGTTTTAGTGATTTATACGGCTTTCAATGGTGACATTGTCTGATATATATATAGAGACGTTTTGTGACGTCAACAGAAAATATGTCTTAGTTATAAGACGCTGTCACGAAAATCGTGATATGTAGCATTGTTTCAGAAAAAAAATCATTAAGATTAATATGTGTAAAAGGTTTCCCCACACAATGGTGCTATTAATATGGAAACCCAGTTTATACGTTTTAATAAAGGACCAAATTAGTTAAATAAACAATGGATAGGCATAAGTTTGAATAAGGAAACCATATTATTGTACTCCGTGAAGACAGAACACAAAGAATTCATTTTAATAGTATGTAAGTAGAGTAGAAGTATCATAAAAAAGAATCTTTAAACTTGAATCTATTGTTTGGAGTGGTCACAGATGTAGAACTGCGAAGCGTTGTATCATAATGTAACTACTAGCGCTGTCTTTGACCGTGTTTGCTCTCTACGAGGTGCGATCGGAAAGTTTCAAGACTGCGCGTATAAAAACCCGTACACTTATCTCAGGTATTAAATTCATCCATCACCCTCGAAGTAGTTCCCCTGGGAGTGAACAAAACGATCCCAGCGCCGCTGCCAAGCCTGGAAGCATCCCTGGAAATCTTTCTTTGTCAGCCTGTCAAGCACCATCTGCGATTCTGCCTGAATCTCTTCTATCGTCTCAAATCTCCTTCCCTTTAGCTGAATTTTCAACTTTGGGAAGAGGAAGAAGTCACACGGAGCTTAGAAAGGAAGCTGGGGTCGGTTCTTGCAAGATCTTTAAACTCCTGACAAACGAGAAGTCGATTCTGCTTCTAGTCCTCTGACAGGATGCGTCGCATGTGGAGTTCTTCCTTTAGAATCAGCTGACAGGTCCCATAGCCTATCCCAAAAATGTCGCACAAGTCGTTGATGGTACGACGTCGATCTTCGTAACAGTTTCGGGCGTTGTGCTCGAAGATGGTCGTCCAGAACGCTCGTCATCATCGACAGAGGTTCGGCCATTTTTAAAACGTGAATGCCACACAAAAGTTTGTGCACGACCCATTGCGGACTCCCCAAATGCTTGCTTTAGCATTTCATAGGTTTCCGTAGCCGTTTTGGCGAGTCTTTGGCAAAATTTGATGCACACGCCATTCCGAAAGCGCAGGAGGGTCGGTGTAATGCACTACCAAAACGCCCATAACTAGTTCATGAAAATCCGCCATTCCGAAATCGCAGGAGGGTCGGTGTAATGCACTACCAAAACGCCCGTAACTAAGAAACAAATGCTAATTCGATGATGCCGGCTGGCACACTGATTCACTATGAATGTAGGCCGCACCCCCTATCGGCAGAAGCTCGTACTACATCCGGTTCGCCCTCTATTGACACAGTCTTGAGACTTTCCGATCGCACCTCGTACAGTAGTACCAACTGGTTTCAGAACCGTGAGGTTCCATATAGCCCGCAGGGTTCCATAAAACCTCCTTTCCCTCTGCATATTTGAATGACCTACATTTTTGCATGCAATGGATAGGCGTGGCCCTTTGTTTAAGTTGAAGATTCGGTCGAAGCGATGGGTAAGAGATTAGTATTGAGGTTAGGATGTTTTCAAAAGGCTGTGTTCGGATTATTTGCAACATTGTTGTTTTTTAACAGTCCGAACCTGACCTTTATGAAGATATAATTAGCAGAATTTTAAGTACAGTTTTAAAGACGCTTGTAACAAGTGAATTAGGGATCGATTTTGTGTCTCTGTAAAAAGAGTAATGCTAGCAGTTAGATTCGGCCGTGTGAAGTCAAGGTCAACCGATGCGAGCAGGAGCGAGGGGCACGGGGGCGGACACCCATTGCACCGTGTAACAATGACGTTAGATATGCACACGCCTGTCGCCGGTTTGTTACAAATTGTTTTATTTTTATTGTTAATGAAACAGTTACTCGACGCTGTGAACTTCCTTTGGCGATAAATAATGCCGAAATATATTGAAATTTACTCAAAATTTGTTAAGATGTAGATAAAAATTTCTGATTGATTTTGACGAAAGGTGTTTAAATGCAGCTGGAAATAGTTTTCAGACGAATTTGACATTGAATTTGTCTTTCACACGCCGAGTGGGGGAGCAAGGGGGGAGAACAAGGAAATCACTGTCCTACCGAGAGGAGTTATTGCTCAAATCGCTAGGGATTCCCCCACATAGACGTGTAGATTCTCAGAAGGCATTAAGGAACACCATTCTAAAAACAATGATTTACCAACAGGCTACGGATTTCTATACGAAATGTGTGCATCACCTGTTAACACACGTCTCTGGTTTTTCATTCATCGCCCGTTTACCGGGTGATTCACAGACGGTGTGCTTTCAGAACAGAGGTTTTGCAACTACCCCATGCCTTCTACAGGTCTCATTCATCTCATCCCAGACTTCATAACCCTAGTTCAAGTTACAAATTATGAATAAAGACATTGTGTGATTTTTTTATGTGCGAATATACAGGATGTTCGCGTGACAAACTTCACGGTGTTATATGAGTCATTTAGAGTACAAATGCTGTACGCTGTTGTCATATCTTATTATCAACTGTTACAGCATTATTATAGCCACGGTGGTCTAGCGGTTAGAACGCTGACCTTGTAATCCTGGGGGTCTCGGGTTCGATTCCCGGCGGTGCCCGAATTTATAACTTGTGTTGGGCAAGGCCGTGGTCTAGGCAACACGGAGTTTTCCTCCGGGGGCTTCCCCGGTTTCTCCGTGGCATCCCAACAATTACTCCATGCACACACAGAAGAAGGCAATGGCAAACCACTTCGGGATCATCTGCCAAGAACGTATATGAACAGATCCCAGTCCGAGACGTGGTCTAGGCAACACGGAGTTTTCCTCCGTGGCATCCCAACAATTACTCCATTCACACACAGAAGAAGGCAATGGCAAACCACTTCTGGATCATCTGCCAAGAACGTATATGAACGGGTCCCAGTCCGAGAAAAGGATGGAAGGATCCTGTTCATATGGACCTGTCGTCAGACAGAACACTAAATAAATAAAAAAAAAAACAGCATTATTATCGTGACAGTGTTTCAAGATACTGTACAGTATTATTTTCAACCAGCTTCACGATTACCCCCACTCCGGTAAATACCCCTCCCTCTGCCCTTACTACTACGTCCTTCCACTATGTATGAGAAGAAATAAAAACGTTCCGTCATACATTTTACACGTTGCTGGTTATGGTTGGTATGTATTTTCTTCAGGCACAGTGTGTAACTTCTGGAACAATTCACCGACCCCTGAACTTCTGATCGTTCCTAGTTTTTATGATTATGATTTATTTACTGCAAATTGGGTTTGCACCCGGTGGGAGTGGTCCTTACACTACACAATTACAACAAAATACATATAATACACTCCATAGAACACCCTACACACATAACTAGACATCCACTCCTACAAAAACATTCCACCTTACACACAATACAAAAACACACATCCATTAATTAATCACAGTACTTAGATTAGAAAATAAAGTCAGACCTCCGTACATGAAACTTTTATCCCAAAGAACTACAGCCCCAGTCTCTGAATTCAATGTGTGTGTTGCGTGTTGCAGACGCTGCCGGCGTGCCCAAACTTACTTCGCGGCCTGGAGGCGTTGTACCAACAGCTGACCGCCTCCGTTTCCCGCATCAACTGCCCCAAATTCCCAACAATGCCTGCTGTCCGCGGTCGGAAGGGTTTCTGCGGCTGTTTCCAGGTGAGTGCACGGCACAGGTTGAAGATGTGTTTCGGAGGTCCTTGCTGCCTGCATCTTCACGGCGAGGATGATGGAGGACCGCTAAAACCCATAAGTTCACCTTGTTCACGAAATAACATGTTTTAAATTCGTCCTTCAGACTGTTAGCTCGATATGCAGTTCGACTTATCGATTTAAAGAGCAGGAATACGAATATCATTCATACGTTTACATTAACAGGATTAACATTCTCGCAAAATGTACCTATTCCATAATAAAATACAATATCTTAATGCGTCCTTTTCAACGTGCATTTAAAGATATTAAATCCGCCTTGTTTGATAGTTTCCGCTATGGTCACAAGATCGCAGCACCTTAATGTCCACCTCACGACTTTGCTCATCCGCCATTTTGTTACCACCGCTCGTAGGACATTCAAAGTTACTAATTTGAGGTCATGCAAAATAGCACAACCTTCACATCAAATTTCGTTTAAATTCGTCCAGTGGTTCTCGAGTTGAATCGATTGGACAGACGGACAGATATGAGCAGCCCACAACGCGTTCTTGCTATGCCGCTATGCACTCCAAGCAAAGAATGCATTTTGTTAGTTAGTGGGACCGTGAGCTTTGTTTACTAAAGTTATGTACGTGAGAAAACTGGCGAATTTTTTTTTAGGGTTGGGAGGGTCTGTTAAGGCCGAGGTGTCGAACGCCTCTTCCGTCAAGCCTGTCCGACACACGGTTGCGCTGTCTTAGAAACTAAACAACTTGATGTTGGTGAAGTCGTAGGTGGACCACAGTTGAATCGCCGTGCGCCCTACTTCAGATCGGACTCTTGTGTGCTGTTCTATCCACTAGCCTACAACCTTTACTTTCATGTCAACAGAAAACTTATATTCCTTGCTATAACCGTTAAGTATGACGACGAAAATTTCTCCTTCCATGCCCTACTCCATTGCAGGTTTGTTTTCTTACATCGCCACTTCTATAAGTGACTTTCTCTGCCTCTTAGTTGTTAGTTTTAATTTCATTTCGGTTTCATTATGAACGCGTGTTTTCCGTGTCTGTTAATATACGTCGTGAGTGGGTCATCTGCCAGTCGAATTGTATGTTTACAACGTCACAAGAGCTTCTTGCCGGCGACAACCGCGCTGCAAGTGTCAAAAATGATTACTACAACAATACGGATAGGGCAGTTGCGCTGGACAGTCGGTGATAAATGGACACTTGATGCGTGATGTCTTATTTCTGTGTTGTAAACAAAGCGTGGTTCACAGAGACAGCAAAATGTTGGACAGTGGAGGCTAATTGTTATTACCTTCAAATTACGGTTGTTATGAAAATATTTCACACAGTGAGTCTTTCTCTATAGTCGTCTGAATGCTAATTAAAATGTTGCGTCGACGTTGAAAAATGTCAGTTGTGGTACGCATGCCTACAT